ATTATGAAGTAATTTAAGCCATTTTTTTAATGATGAAATTGCTTTTCCAAGACCATATTTCACTGAGTTATTATGGTTATGTCCTAACATCACATCTTTTAATATTTTTAGTTGCATTATCATCCCTTCATGATACTTGAGTAATTGTTAATACAAAAAAAAAAAAAAAAGATACTTGGGTAATTAGATCAAAATTATCATAATTTATTCTTTTTTCTCTAGAAATTGGGGAGTATGAATTAATGGAAAGAACTATCAATAAGAAAATTAATTAAGAATAATAAATATAATATTTAAAAAAAATAAAAAATAAAATGAATGGGTCAACTCGTCAACCCGTGTGTTGATCTTAACTCGACTCATGATATATATGGGTTGATAATACGGGTTATTTATGGATTACGGGTTTAGATATGTAGACCCTAATTTATTTTTATGGGTCAAATTAGGATCAAGTTGAGGAATAAGATGAATTTTTGTCAAGTCTAATTCTCATAATTTACAATACAGCGTTATGTCATGGCACGCGAGTTCGGGGGCCGAAGTCACGGGCATCGTGGCACGGAGTTGCAGCCATGGGCACATAGGGGGTGTATCCAGCGTCCAGAGGGCATGCAATGCAACGTCGCGAAGTGCGAGCGCGGACATGAGGGTAGGCGCGAGCACGAGCATGCGCGAAAGTGGAAGCGCGAGCAGAAGTGTGGACGCGGCCATGCGGGCATGCGGGATGCGGGTGTTGGTGTTGCGACACAGGGTTGCGACTATGACGCTTACGTATACGAGGATGCAGGCACAAGGTGGATCGCGCAAGATGCAGCGGGCCTTGCTAGCGGAGGCGTCGATATCGGGGCCGTGGCGTGAAGTTAGGACAGGATGCATGGGAGCGTGCAGAAGCAGTCGGGGGCGATATGCGTGGGCGCGCGAGAGTGTCCTGGTCCGAGACATGGGTGCACGCACGGGCAAGCTAGGTCGAGGCGCTGGCACGCATGGGCGCGGTATGGCTCGAGGCGTTGGGGTGCGTTAGCGCAAGCACGAGCGCGGGCGCGAGCGCGACATGGAACGCCCCAAAGGCGAGCCTTGCATCACTTGGCAGCGTCCAGGCCAAGGCTGTGGCACGGGGTCACAGTCGAGACACAGGCGCGCGAGCACAGATGGGAGTGGCCTAGAAAATTCCAAAAGCAGCCTGGGAGGTCTGGATAAGGATCAGAACAGTGGTCTGGATAAGGACAGAACAGTGGTCTTTATAATTTAACTACTTATTATTATTTAAAATCCACTAATCTTAACTCACAACTGAATTTTGTAGAAAAAGAAAAAAAAAAAAACCAGCTCTTGTGTTTTCAATGCCATTTCTCTAATATCTAGCTCTATTGTTCCAGTGTCAATCTCCTTTAACTAATCAACTTCAAAAAAACAAAAAAAAAAAGGAGAAAAAAGAGACTTCAACGGTGGCTGGACGCAAGTTACTACAATA